AAAAAAATGTTGCTGAGGATGTTAACTGAGATTAAAGACTAATGGTGCTGAGATTCCCACTTTCTTAGAAGAAGGGTGTGTTGGAGGCAGTTGCAGTAACATCACTGTAGCCGATAGAAAAAATATTAGAAATGATATTAAGAATAATGCAACTAGAAATTTGGGAATGGATTTTTTTTGCACAATTTAAATTTTGCCAATCCCTATAACAAATTTCCTTTACAATATTTCATAGAAATTAACCCAGGAATGGTATTATGTATGCCTGAATTGTCCAACACTGGATCACTAAGTTGATCACAGAATTATTTCTGCAAAGAAGCAATCTTGCTTTCCCCTGACTGCAGCAGGCACTGAGTATAGCTAAAGAAGACAGCCTACACCCACCAAGTGACCAAAGAGAGAGCCTTGGTTTAAACACTTCCTAGCAGCAATCAAGATTATTCTGGGGGCATTAGGTCATGTTTCAGAAGGTAAGGCTAATGAACTGTGAATTTGGAAATACTACTAGCAGTTAAATGAAATATTTATCTACAAAACAGAAGAAATAAAATAAATTATGGAATGATTTTTGGCATTTGTTTGAATAAAAAATTCTGAAAGAAAACGATGATGGATTGAAAGGAAGCAGCAAAGGAACACTCTGTGTGTTACAGTGAAATGGGGAGAGAATGAAATAAAGTTGATGGAAATAAATTATAGCAAAGATTGAGCCTGGAAATAACAGAAAGCAGTGAAGACAGTGATATTCTGCAACTTTTAACCCATGGTCTGAGAGTACTGAGTTTACCAGAACTCTGATATGTTGTCACAATCCTGGAATTGTAGGAAAGTATGTGCTTTGAAAACTGATAAACTATGTTGTAACCGAATATTTAAGAATCACTGGACTTATGAAGTAGGTAATCTATTAGTAGTAAACTTTACATTCTGGAAGACCTTAGACCATTATTGTCTGGTGAGGACATGGGACAAATTGGAGTCAAGATTATCATTCAAACTCTGCACTAAGAAATAACAGAAGAATTTAGAGTAGTAGTGAGTAGCTCTCTCCTATCTGCATCAGAACAGGTCACTATTTTCTATAAGTATTTACTTTCATACATTCTTCCCTGTCTTCTGTGATCCTACCATTTTGATATTGTTTCTAACCCACCTTAACCATTCACTCATACTGTCTATACACCATCATTATCAATGAGAGCAATGACAACACAATCTCTATTCAAAGACTCATAACATTTCCGTTTGTTAAAATCATGTAATGCATACTAGCACAAAATATAAAGCATAACACATCTTGAAACACAATGCATAATATCTTCTCTAGGTAGGAACTCCAAGAAGTACTCATACAGGGACCTTAAATAGTTGCACTTACAGTTCATGAGATAATCCTCATCAACAGCCTTCATATTTGCTGACAAGACTCATAAGAAAGTTTATAACAAAACAAACTTCTTAAAGATAATATACTCAAACGTATTGCCACCTGCTGGTTTTGTATGATTTTCAGCTAGGATTTAAAATATCTAATGAAAATAAATTGAAAATCACTTTAGCAAATCTTCATTTCTTATTATGATTTCTGGTAAAGTAATCGATGGATTTTAACACAGGTAATTAGATTATAAACAACAGTTTTAGCATTGCAGGTTCTTTCCACCCTGTGTAAACATATTCTGAAGTGAACCATGAGGCACACTTTTCTTCACAGGTTTTATGCCATATGTTTTACTTTATCACAAAATAATTCATTCTAGGTGTATAATTAGATAATACATAGGTGGATAATACACAGGTGGTACTATATTGTATTATGTACCATTAAGCTTTTGAAGAATGTCTTGGATATATAAAATTATTAACAGAAAGGGGAGAAGTGTAATTCAAATTAAGATGTATTTCAACTTGATTGAAGACTTTAGCTATTTAATACATCTTAAATGTGGTCCCATATTCTTTTTATTTAAAAAGACACCAGGGGATTCCAAATCATTTTCTAGAGTGTGGCTGTGCAATAGTTTATGATTTTCTTCACAGGTTGGGGGCTTCCTATGCTGCAATTGATCATCATTTCTTGACTGCAAAACTATCTGTTTTAAACACCAGAAAATAGATGTCAAGGTTAAAATTCTATTATGAAATTGTAAACGCTAAAAAAGGACTCTTGCTTTAATGGAAATTATCCATCTACAGAATGATGACAGCGTAGAATGAAGAAAAGCCTTGGGTCATTTCGGTCATGAAGAATTTATATAAACAACAATTTCAACATAAAATTTAAGGTGCATATTGTGAAGCAGATCCATGGTACATTGGTTATCAACTTGCTTGTGCCCGTTGAGAAAGATACACTCAGGTGCAAGTTACATGAGGTGAATATTTTACTTATATATGGGAAAACAGATGCCAGGATTCTTTTCAGCTAGTACCCCAAAGCTCAGAAAGCTGCTGAGGACAGAGGGATTTTAACTCTGTGTTGACTCTGTGTGTCCTGCTTATACTACAGAAGAGAACCTGAAAAGCAGCCTCCTCCTGATTAATCTCGGGGCCACATGACACTGTGAGGTAGTGCTAAAGGACAGTCTGTTTCTAAGAGAGGACACAGCCTGGGCTGTTTTGTCCACCTCTTCCTTATCTGATATTGAGTGATCATTCTAAAGTGATTCTGTGAAAATTCAAGCAAGAAAAATGGATAGAACTGTTTGGGTTCAAGACCACAAATATAGTCTAGTGACATTTCATATTTATATATGTATGTGTGAGAGTATGTATGTCTGTCTGTTTTTCTTTTTAGAAATAGTAAATATATTAAGCATTACTGCATCAATGTTAAGTGAAAAGATGTCAATGGTAGGGCTTGGTTTATTTCCTTGGCATACATATGTTTTTTTTTGTCTTCATCATTTTAATGCAAATAGACATATATGGCCATATATAAGTTTCCACAAATATGGGATTGTGTATTGTAAATACTTTTGATTCCTGCTTTTTTTTTCAAACATTTTGAAGTCCTACCCATATCATTTAAAAATTCTTTGGCAATATAACTTTCAGCAGCATCATATACCCACATGACACCCCCCATTCAACTCTTCCCCTGGTGTTGCATATATCTTAAAAATTTCAAGTCTTTGTGGTAACACGACTATACTTCTTAAGAATAACATCACTACCAGGCATGATGATGCATGCCTATAATTCTAGCACTCAGGGATTCTGAGCTTGAGACCAGCCTGAACTACATAGTGATACCTTGTCTCAAAAAACAAAACAAAATAGAAAAATAATGATATTACTTTTAGTTACGTGATTATAAGACCACTTTTATATAAAGTATATGAAATTTTTTTGATGTTTTCAGACTTGCCATTTTTTTAATTTTAAACATTCTATTTCAACTAACCACATATACAAAAGCTTGCCTACTATTTATTGCTTATCACATTTCTTATCTTTAATTTGCATAAAGATACAGCTGCCCTTTTTAGAAAATCTACAATTTTAATTTTTTTAACTTATACATAATTGAGCGATGTATTGGCCTCACATTGGTAATTATAGCTCTAACATGTCAAATATATACACAAGCACACAAAAATGACCAATGCATCATATAAAAAGATAACTAATACATGATCTCACATATTCAAGGGGAACAATGCCTAATGCTCATGGGGATATATAAATCACTGACCCACAAGGGAGAACTAAAAAAGGGTGGTGGAGGAGTCAAGGATGATGGAGGAGGCAAGGTAGAAAAGACATATGGAGGCTTCACGGACCTAGTAGCATCCAGGCCACTGAATGTCACTGTGTGTGCAGAACGGGCTTCAGGGCTAGAGGGAACAAGGACCAAGACTCTTAGCCACAAACTCACCAACAGTGGAGTGCATATTTTGGGTAAAGGGATATAATCTAGGGGAAGGCTATAAAAAACAGGGAAAGGAAAAGTTCATCCAAGAGGGCAAAACACCCTCCCCACACAGAGGCTCCCCATGCTCTCTGCAGAGGTTAAGTAGCTAAGGTCACCCTGCAGGTCGCTCCAACCCTGAGGCTCTTGGAATCAAACCCATGGGCAAGAATCTTCCTTAAGGAAACTATCTCCGCCCCCAAAAGTAAAATATCACACACAAACAAAACTCAAAACCAAGAGACAAGCAGGGTAAGTAGGCTTTAACCCTTATACTTTGCCAGTACCCCAACTGTCCTGCTACTGAGACAGGGTTGGCTCATTCCTTATACCAACTTGTTACATCATGCCAATACATCCCCCTCAAAATGCGTAATGACACAAAATATAAACTCGCCCCAAATATAAGCAAACATTAACTTAAGGATCCTCCTATAGTATTACTACACTACCCTAGCATATCTTAACCCTGTTCTCACCCATTTACAAACTCTCTGCACTCTGTATTGCTCTAGAGGCATTACATTGTTGCATTTGATTCCTCTTCTTGAGGTAGTTCAAAGTCTTGAAATACAGCAAATTTAAGTATTTTTGTACACTTCCATGGATGAGTAGTTATCATAATCAAACTGTTTTCCCCTTGATCCTCAGACTACTATAATTTTCCCTTAGATCATAAACTAATGTAACAAATGGAAATAAAAAGTCATACAAAAATAAATTTAAAATCAAGCAAAAACAAAAAATAATTAAAACAAAGAATCTGTGTCTTCACACTAGCAGTTTAAATTCTGCCAAAGACAAAACACTTACTCGGCTTAGCAAACCTACAGACTTTTTTATAATGTACATAAGAAATCAGCACTTGGTAGACTGAGGCAAGAGCATCCAGAGTTCAAAGCCAGGCTGGGCTACAGAGAAACCCTGTCTCACAAAAAAACACAAGAAATTAATCACTCATAAAAATAGGGGGAAAATTCTAGGTTGCAACATAAAACTAACATCAACTCATTCACCAACTAAAAGTTCTTCCAAAATGCAATGTCCACTAGAGGGGACGTTTGGCAAAACTGTCCACATGGGCTGACTTGCAGGCCAGACCAACTGCCCTTAGGTCTGCTTAAGAGGTGCAGGGATATTGGCAGATGCCTGTTCAAGGTAGGCCAAGGAGCCCTGAGGGATGTCAGCTGGCTTCTTATGCTGCACATTGATGTCCTCCAGCACCTGCTGCCAGTGCCTCAGCTTTGTTAGGTGCTTCTGGACCAGTGCATCTTTCCTCTGCAATTCATTCCTTAGTTCCAAGACATCCTCTTTGATAACTTGCTCTGGTTTCTGGACAGACAACTGCAATCTTTTTTGTAGGAAAAAATATTCTGTCTGTCTTGCAATGTCCAGAAACTTCCGGATACACTGATCGACACCAGTTCGAATTTCTTCCTGATCAGTGCCACTGACATAGTGCTGGCTCACAAGAGAAGCAAAGCAAGCCTCAAACGATGACTCCAATTCGTCCACCAAGGTACTGTTGGAACTCCTAGCAGCGCCAGGCGCTGCCTGGCCGGGTAGTCCCTGCGGAGGTGGCCGGGGGCCGGGTGGCTGTCCAGTGAACATTGCACCCAGCAGAGCAGCCATGTCTGCAATGGCGGGGAGGACGCACTGCCTACAATTTTAATTTTTTAACACACACACACACATATATATAATTTGTCATTAATTTGTTACAAGAGAAACTCTTAAACTTTCTGAGAAATTATTACTTTGTATCAAATCTTGAGACATTTTATAAATTTCTTTTTTTGTTTTATTTTTATTTTTTCTACTTTTTTTCTTGATTCATATATTCATATGTGCATACATTGTTTGGGTCATTTCTCCCCTCCTCCCCATCACTTCCCTCACCCCACCCCCCTCACTTCCAGGCAGAATCTGTTCTGCACTTTTCTCCAATTTTGTTGAAGAGAAGACATAATCAATAATAAGAAAGCATTTTTGCTAGTTGAGATAAGGATAGTTATACAGAGAGATTCCTAGCATTGCTTCCATGTACAAGTGTATTACAGGCCGAATTGATGCATTTCTACCTGACCTCTTCACTACTTCCTGGTCACCTGCCTATATTGACCTCTGTCACTTTAAGGTTACTGTATTACTCCTCTGCATTTTTGGGTTTCCTACCTATCCGCATTCCTCCCATATGTACTCTCGCCTTAGCATGTGACCCCACTCTAACAACATTACTGCCTTTGCACTAGATTTAAAGTTCGCATATGAGGGAGAATGTACAATTTTTGTCTTCTGAGCCTGGCTAACCTCGCTCAGGATGATGTTCTCTGGTTCCATCCATTTACTTTTGAATGATAGGATTTCATTCTTCTTCATGGCTGCATAAAATTCTATTGTGTCAGACCCTAAACTCTGAAGTTAGTACAGGAAAGAGCAGGGAATAAATACTCTTGAAGCAATAGGTATAGGCAAGGACTTTCTCAGTAGAACCCCAGCAGCTCAGCAACTAAGAGAAAGAATGGACAAATGGAACTTCATAAAATTAAAAAGCTTCTGCACAACAAAATAAATGGTCTCTAAACTGAAGGGACCACCCACAGAGTGGAAGAAAATATTTGCAAGCTATACATCAGACAAAGGACTGATAACCAGAATATACATGGAGCTCAAATAACTAAACTCTCCCAAAATCAATGAACCAATAAAACAATGGGCAACTGAACTAAACAGAACTTCATCAAAAGAAGAAATTCAAATGGTCAAAAAACACATGAAAAAATGCTCACCATCTCTTGCCATAAAGGAAATGCAAATCAAAACCACACTAAGATTTCACCTTCACCTGTTCCACCACGAACAGGTGTTGGTGAGGATGTGGGGGAAAAAGGAACCCTCATACACTGCTGGTGGGAATGCAAGCTAGTGCAACCAATCTGGAAAACAATATGGAGGTTTTTAAAAAAACTATACATAGATCCGCCATATGATCCAGCAATCCCACTCCTGTGGATATACCCAAAGGAATGAGAATCAGGTTACTCCAGTGGCACTTGCACACCCATGTTTATTGCAGCACTATACACAATAGCCAAGTTGTGGAAACAGCCAAGATGCCCCATTACTGATGAATGGATTAAGAAAAGGTGGTATTTATATATGAAATCTTTCTTGTGTCATTTAGAATTTTTTTCTTTTGGTACTGGAGGTAGATCTCAGGTCCTCATACTTGCAAAGCAAGCTAGCCTCTACTACTTGAGCCATGCCCACATATCTTTTTGGTTTGAGCACTATTGAGAAAGGGTCTTGCTTTATGCCTGGGCAGGCTGTGATCTGCCTATCTACATTTCCCCAGGTACATGGGAAAAGTGGTATGTGCCACCAAGCCAAGTCACTGGTGGAAAATGGGGTCTTGAGACCTTTTGCCCCAGGCTCATCATAAACTGCTATTCTCCCAATCTTTGCTTCCCAAGTAGCTAAGATTATAAACCTTAGCCAACATGTCCAGATGATATAAAAAGTTTATATCAACAAATTATATGGATTATTAAATAATGCTGTTATATTAATATAACAAATTATTTCAAATTAATATACTGATGTTACAGATAAATCTTTTCATAGACTCAGCTCCAGAGCAATATATTCCTCTTTTATAAGCATATTTATTTATAATACATAAAATCTTGAATTTTAATCCTTAATTTGACTCAAAGTAACTATATTTAGAAGATAGGTTTTGTTCCAGGTTAGTATGAACAGAGTGTGAGTAGACATGGCAAAGATTCAGTTTTGCATATTGACAATTTTTTACTACCTAATTTCTATTCTATTCAGCACCTTGGCAACTATCTCTACAATTAAAAATAGTTCAGAATAATTTTTATGAATATTACTAGAAAGACCTCTAAAATTAGTCAATAAAATTGAATATTAACTTCTAAAACCTGTTAATATTGAATGAATCACATGTTCTCTTGCTGATTAAATGACCATCCAACCAGTTCCATGATTTGCTGAAATACTAGCATTGACTTAATTTGAGGTTACATACATGGATAAAGTTTATGACACAGTGTTTACAGGGCACATGCTGCAGGAAATGTATTTATGTATTCAAAGTCCAGAGGGGTCAAATGCAGCTTTCTTATCATCATTCTGTGGAGATTACAAGAAAGCATCTGAAAGGCAGAGACATGTGTGAGTCTCCTGACCATGATAGAGTATTTGAGTTACAGGAATCCAAGTTCATATAATGTACATAAAGTGACTTAAATATCCTAGAAATGAGTTAACCATTGTTATTATTCTTAGGAAACAAGAGGAAACTATTCAAGATAGAGTTATGAACACGTTATAAATCAATCAAAAAATGACTTAGCAATGAATGATTTCTGACTTAATCAGAATTATTTCTAACTTACTAGAAGACTGAAAGTCCTGTTCTGTTGATATTGCACATTTTCTCTAAAGCTATTGCCACATTCTTTGCAAAAAAATACAGTCCATCTCAAAAGTTTGAAGACTTTCAAAATGAATAAGTTGAGGCTATGATTTCAGCTCTCACAGCAGAAATGATGTATCTTTTTCATATATTTACTTTTCCAGATGAATCTGTCCATTGAAAACATTCTATTTCATGTCTATATAACTTTTAGTTACTTTTAAACTCCATTACTCTGTTATGTGTAAGATACTGCTCTCCACTAGTACTTCTTTCAGTAAGGAAAATGGTATTCACATTACACAATGGTCTTGCACATACACAGTTGACTGATGTGATGGAAAACACTGAAATTTAATTTTTCATCAATTTTATTTCAAATAGTCAGATATACCTAGTCTATAATGTATGCACAGTATAAGCCTAAAGTAGTAAGTATAGATTTTCCCTTGGAAACCAAATGCATCTGGAAGTCTGTGGCACATGTTCTGATTGTCCAATCACACCCTGTTTTTTAAATTTTTATTTCATTGTTTTTATATTTACTTACACATGTTTATATTATTTGAGCCACCTCCCCTGCCCCCTGCTTCCAGGCAGAACCTGTTCCACCCTCTTGTTCTCTGATTATGATGAAGACAAAAACATAATGTTTTTGCTTGTTTAAGATAAAGATAGCTATACAGAGAGATTCCTAGCATTGCTTCCATGCTCATGTGGATTACACTGCACATTGGTTCATCTCTATAAGATCTCTTCACTACTTCCTGGTCCCCTTCCTATAGTGACCTTGGCCAGTTTAAGATTACTATATTCTCACCTATACAGTGGGCACATTAACCACATTCAAGTTTTGGGTTTCCTTCCCTTTCCCTATTTTTGCTACCATGCACATTCTCCCCTTAGTGTGTGACCCATGTCCAATAATATTACTGCATGTATCAGGTCTATAATCCCCATATGAGGGAGAACATATGATTTTGGCCTTCTGAGCCAGACTAACTTCACTTAAGATTATGTTCTCCAGTTCCATCCATTTACTTGCAAATGAAAAATTTTCATTCTCCTTTGTGGCTGAATAAAATTCCATTGTGTATAAATACCACATTTTCTTAACCCATTCATTTGTGGGGCATCATGGCTTTTTCCATAACTTGGCTATTGTGAATAGCACTACAATAAACATGAATGTGCAGGTGCTTTTGTAATAACCTAGGTTGCATTCTCAGGAGTGGTATTGTTGGATCATGTGGCAGATCTATGTTTGGTTTTTTAAGAATCCTCCATATTGTTTTCTAAAGTGGTTGTATTAGCTTACATTCTCATGACACTGTATGAGGGTTCCTTTTACTCTCGCATCCTGGCTAACATTTGTTGTTGCTGGTGTTTTTGATGGTAGCAATTCTAACAGGGGTGAGGTGGAATCTTAGTGTAGTTTTGATGGCCAGGGATGGTGAGCATTTTTTCATGTGTTTTGGCCAGTTGAATTTCTTCCTTAGAAAAAGTTCTGTTTAGTCAGTTGCCCACTTCTTTATTGGTTCATTGATTTTGGGGGAGTTTTGATATTTGAGTTCACTGTATATTCTGGTTAGCAGTCCCTGTCTGATGTATAGCTAACACAGATTTTCTCCCACTCTGTGGGTAGTCTCTTCAATTTAGAGACCATTTCTTTTGTTGTGCAGAAACTTTTTAATTTCATGTAGTCCTATTTGTTCATCCTTTCTTTTGGTTGCTGGGCCACTTGAGTTCTATTGAGGAAGTCTTTGCCTATACCTATTGCTTCCAGAGTATTATGTGCTAATTTTTTGCACTAATTTCAAGGTTTCAGGTCTGATATTAAGGTCCTTAGTCCACTTTGAGTTGATAGTAATACAGGATGATAGGCATCAACTACACACATTTGTCATTAAACTCTACTTTCTGTATGATCTTGGCCACACGTAAGTCAGACATGCAGAGAAGATTATTGCTAGGGGAAGCAATTCTCAATAAGGACAGAAGTGGGTTGAAAGAAAACTGCAATTTTTCTTCACACTTTAGTTTAACAGTCTGGACCCAAATGTCAGCAAAGGAATAAAGTTACACTTGCTCATTATGATAATTTACATTATTTGCTTTCTTCTTTTTCTTACACCAACTCCCTGCTATTCTAGTAGATGTTTGTGGAATCATTTCCCAAATAGAGCTA